AGGTCCCCACGTGACCCGGCCCATGGAGCAGCCTCGGACCTCCATTTTCCCATCTGGGAAATAGGCGCATCCAGGGCCCCCTCCCTGCAAGGCACCCGCTGCTGGGGGGTGTGCAGGACGGTCACAGGACTGGAGGTGACTTGATTTTCAGCCCACTGTCTGGGGGCGCTGCTCCAGGCCATGCTGGGAGAGGCTGCAGAGACAGAAGACGGGGCTACGCTCACCTCGCTTTCAGCCTGCGCGCACCCAGCCGTGGGTCAGGCCGGCGGCGCGGGGCTTGGGTGTCGTCCGGCCCAGGTGTCAGAACCCTCGTGTGTCTGTAGGAAACAGGCGGGGTGGGGACGGTTGCAAGTTGGGTGGTCGACGTGGGGCCGACTCGGATAGTGTGCGAAGCGCGGAGCCGCGTGGACACCCTCCCTGCCCCCGCGGGCTCTCTGAGCAGAGACCGCAGACTTGGGGCCGCAGGGGGAGAGGCTGCAGCCGGCTCGGGGACGGGGGGATGGCAGTGGCGGGGGGACCAGGGCTGGTCATCCCTCTTCCGCGAGCGCCCGTCACTGCTGGAAGGCGTCTGAATTTACTGGCTTCCTTGGAGCTGGTCAGCACTCCCACCAGAGAGTCCGCCACACTCCGAGGCTCCCCGAGTCCCCATGTGGTGTCTGGTGACCAAAACGTGTCATGTGGATGAAGGAGCAAGCACGCAAATAATTGGCTTCCTGGAGGCGGTGGCCTGTGAGTTGGGCCTGGAAGGGCAGCGTATCAAGTCCTGGCAGAAACGGGGTTCGCTGGGATTGGTGCAGCGTGCTGGGCTGTGAGCAGCGGAGGGGCGGGTTCAGGGAGCTTGCGGGGGGCGGCCTGGGCCCTGTGCTGGCAGTGGTTGGGGGTGTGGGGCGCTTGCCTGGGCCTGAGGTGAGGGGGAGCCGTTACCAGAACCCAGAAAGAGAGAGCCGTGGGCAGGGGCGCCCACCAGGCCCCATGCCTGCAGAGACGGGGCAGTGAACCCCTGCCAGGGTCTCCCCCTGGCCTCACCCACTGGGAAACGGGGCTCTTGGGGATGCAGCCCCTGGCCCCAAGCAGAGTGGAGGCTCCGCCTGCAGCCCAAGGGTGCAGAGTTCCCGACCCAGGGTGGGTGGGCCTGGGGGTGTGGCTGGAGTGGGGGCCACCGCAGGCACGAGGAAGCTCCGTGCAGGTGGCTGGTGGAGAAGGCCGTGCCCGCCCGGCTGAGGTCAGCCACGGGGCGGGAGCTGGGTGTCGGGAGGGTTGCCGGGTTGGCTGAGGAAGGCTGGCCGAGGACCAGGCAGGCGCTGGAGAGGCTGTGCTGGGGCCCAGCCGGGGCGGGGGGCCGGTCACCCCAGCTCACCACCAGGGAGCGGGTGGGGCACCCATTTGCTGAGTGAGACAGGCCGGCTCGAGGCAGAGGTGGGAGCTGGGGTGTTCGGAGCCTGAGAACTACAGATGCTCCTCACCAGGCCTGTAGAGGGGTGAAAGCCCACTGGGCCCAAGGCTGGCCTGGGGTCCCTAGACCCTCCCTCGGACCCCAGAAGTAAGCACCCCTCCCGCCCGGCCTGTTCCTGACCTGGTCCTCACACACTGCCCTCCCCACCCGGATGCTGCCTCCCGTAAGCAGGCACACACCCCCGCAGGCCCGATTCCCCGTGGCGTCGGCATCTCCCAGGGAACCGACGCGTCCTTCCCTCCGCCGGGGCGGCAGTGACCTCACCCCCGGGGGGCCAGCTGACTCACGGGCTGAGGGCGGCCGGCCGGCCAGCTCTCCCCAGTGCCGGGCTTTGGCCAGGCCGCTGGTGAGAGGGACCGGCGGAGGGCGTGAAGGCTTCCATGCCCTCCCCTCACCTCCCGGCGGCCCCGGGTCCACGGGGGGGCGGGGGACAGAGTTCACTGCGCACCCACACTGCCCAGCCCGCCAGGGGCTCTCGATAAGACACGCACGCCCCATCCTAGAGGAGACGGCCCTGGAAGGTTGAGTCCTGCGCCCAGGGTCACATAGCGCATCTATCGCAGCCCGGAGGGGAGGGAGGCCTGTCCCATTTTGCAGAGGAGGAAACAGGCTCAGAGACGACGCGTGTGGGAACAGGGGAGTCGGGGTGGACCAGGCCTCTGGTCCCTCTGCTCGAGGACAAGCCGCCGAAAGCATTCAGGAGACCTCAGGGCCCTTGGAGCCTCAGTTGCCTCATCCATAAAATGGGGGCAGTGACACCCACCGCTTGGGGATGGGGCGGCTTGAGAGAGAACAGGACGGGGCAGTGGGGGAGCGGTGGGCGGCCCCCGCACCCCCCAGGCACCCCCCCGGGCACTCGGCTATGTGACAGCCTCTACCCCCGCCAGCCCCAGGCCAGGGTTGGGCGAGTGCAGGCTGGACTGGAGTGCTGGCTGTGGACTGGGGCTGCGGGGCTTCAAAAGGCGGGTTGTCAGGGGCCCCCCGTGAAGAGGCGCAGGGGAGATGGCTCCTGGCTTGGCCCCCTGGGTGGGGTCACCCCAGGGGCTCCCCAAACCCTCAGACAGCCACCCCAGCCCATCCTCACCCAGGAGCAGGTGTCCGAGGAAAACATGACACCCTGGGTGCTGAGAAGGCCGTGCCCGTTGCCTGGCCTCAGTTTCCCTATCGGCAAGGCCGAGGGAGGGAAGCCCCGCCTCGGGACAGGGTGTCCTCCAGGACGTGGGGAGCTGGAGGGCCCCCAGGGGTCCTGGGCTCGGGTCCTGGCTGTGGCGCGCCATCTGAGAGCCCCTCTGCAGCAAACTGGGTGCTGGCCACGACTGGTGCCCGGCACAGGGCAAGTGTGTGAGGAGTGCCAGACAGATGCCCCTCCAGCTGGGCGTCCGGAGGTCTGAGCAGAGCTGGGGCGTTGGGACCCGGGGGACATGGGGACCCAGACCCCATGGACCACCCGAGCCATGTGGGGCAGGACTAGACAAGGCTCCCAGTTGCCAAGGATGCGACACGTGAAGGATGGAGCCCCGGGGACCAAGACGGAGGCGAGGGGCTGACCGGGAGGACGGGAGGCGGGCTCGGGACGAGGGGAGCGTGTTGCCGCCACCTGTCACAGCTTGTGACCCTGCGGGGATGCGGGACGGCCCAGGCCGGGGGTGGGGTGGTGTCTGAGGGATCCGTGATGGGTGGAGGGATGTTTGGCACAGAGTGTGGACATTTGGATGGAAGGATGGGTCTGTGGATGGTTAGTGGGTGGACCTGAGCACAGGGTGGGGGTCGAGACGTGTGAACAGGCTCTGCCGCGCTCCCAACAGGTGTTGACAAACTCCCACCAGTAGGACAGACCAGCTCAGCCCCTGAAGGCCGAGCTTGCTCAGTGTGGCTCGGAAAGTGCAGCCCCTGTGGAGAGCATCAGGGGGGCTCACCCCATGGGAGCGTTTCCTTAGGTCGGTGCAATGCCCAACTTTTAGAGGTAGTGAGGTTCCTGTTGCTGGGGGCATTCAAGGGCATCCAAGCAGACAATGGGCCGCCACTTCCTCAGAGTGCCGTGGAAGACTCCTGTGATGGGTCGGGGCCCGCTGTGGTGGTGTCTGATAACAAGGAGAGAAAATTTGGGTTCTGAGGCCCGCAGGAGGCCATGGCTTCTGTTAAAGCCCAGCTTCCTTTTGGAGAGAAAATTCTTTCCCAGTGTAGGGGCCAGACTGCCGTGCAGCTGCCGTCCCCACTGTGGGAATCGGGCTGGAATCTGCCGCAAAATTCCCCATCCTGCACAGGCCAGGGCTGGGGCGGGCGGGGGGCCAGAGTGAGACCCGGAGACCCGGGCAGGCCCGGCCCCAGCCTCCCTGACCTTCTGTGGGCAGGTGAGGCCCTCCCTGAGCCTCGGGTCCCTGGAGGATGAGATGGGGGCCACTGGACAGCAGCTGCGTGTGGGCTCCGGGCCCACCTGCTCTCAGGGGCTCCCTGGGGGCCATGGGCGGGAAGAAGCCGTGAGTCACTGTCCCCAGGGGCTCTGCCTGGGAAGCCCCTGCTGGCCACCGTGTGCGGGGCCTGGGAGCAGCTGGCAGGGGGCGAGGGCGGGGCGCTCCATCCAGCTGGGGTCCCCTCCAGAAACGGCCGGGACCCGCCTCAGGCCCAGACCCCACACCAGCTGAGGGGAGCCCGCCCTGCGTCCCTCCTCCGGCCCACGGGGGCCCCGGCGAGCTGGTGTGCCTGGCAGCTTCAGTCGGGCCGAGTCCCACCCCGGCCCCCCCCCAGGTTTTCATGTGTCAAGTGGAGCTGGTGATAAAATCCACTCCATCGGGCAGACGGGATGACTGAGTGAGTGAGTCCTGGACCCGTGCTCGGGGCTCCATGAGGCTGGGCTGGGGCCAAGGCGGGGCCAGGCATCCCCGGGTCATCTCTCAGCGAGGGGTGGGCTGGCCAGGGCTGGCAACCCTGTCTCCCCCGCCAGACGGAGACCCTCGGAGGCGGGCAGCCGCGCGCCTGGGAAGTGGCCGGCTGTGTCTTTGTTTCCCGTCCACCCAGGCTTCCTCCAGGAGCCGGGGCAGACAGCCCCCTCGTCCTGGCTGCGGTGGGCAGGGCTGAGGCAGGCGGGTGTTGGGTTGAGGCCTCTGGGGAGTTGACGGAAGATGCGGACCGCCCTCGCCTCCCGCCCGCCTCCCTCCCCGTCCCAGGCCAGCCTCTGGACGGAGGGCCAGCCCTGGGCCCCGGGTGGACGCCCCTCACCCGGCCCGCCCAGTGACTCACCGCTCCCCTGGCCCAGGGCCACCGCCGGCTCCTGGCAGGAGGCGAGGAGAGCGAGGTTGTGCCGGCAGAGCCGCGGGGTCGGGTGTGTGAGCCCCGCTCGGCCGGGAGGGGCTGGAGCCGCATCCCCGGGGACGGGCTGGGACCTGTGGGGGTCTGAGGGGGCCTCCCTCTCCCCACGCTCTGGGCCTTCTCTGTCTCCTTCCCACCATGGAGAAGGAAGTGACCTGAGAGCCAGCCCCCCGACCGGAGCCGCCCGGGGCCGGAGGGCAGCGCCGTGGGCCCCCGGCCACCCGCTCCCCGTGAGCCAGGCATGAAGGGCGGCGGCGGCGCTGTGTGGAGCCTCATGTGGAAATACTGCATCTCCGTGAGGACCCTCAGGTACCAGGGGGACGGGCGAGTGGACGCAGCTGAGCCCTGCCGTGATCGGAGGGCGGGGGCGAGCAGGCACCGGCCAGCCCGGTTCCGTTGGCTCCGGGAGGTCCAGGGCAGCCCAGCCCGAGGGCTGGAGGCAGGACAGGCCCCCCTGGCACCCTCCCCCGGGGCTCTGATGGGGACAGAGCAGGATGGTGCCTGGGTGCCCTGGGGGGCGCCAGGCAGACTTGGTGTGGCTGGCGGCCTCGCCGGTGGGCACTTACCACGGCACACTGGGACCCGGGCCCTGTCCGCAGCCGCCTCGACTGTCTGCCCGGGTGAGATGCGCTCGGCACTCACCATGGGCCACGCGCGGGCCCCCGCGCTGAGCCAGGACTCGGGCCCCAGGCTGCCCGTTTCACTGGCCGTGGCGGGTGACGCGGCCTCGCCTCTCCGGCCAGAGTTTCCCACCTGCAGATCCTAGAGGCTTAGCGGGAGGGCTGAGGGAGGGAAGAGCGGCGGGGCCTGGCTCCCAGCCAGCTCGGGGTAAGCTGACTTCCCCCTCCGCCAGCTGGGGGGTGCCCGGAACCAGGTGTGATGGGGCTGGAGACGGAGGCGCAGCAGAGCTTGCCGGGGCAGGGGCACCACCCCCGACCCCAGCCTGTCCCAGCCCCACCCCCGCCCCCGGGGCCTGGTTCCAGCCTCCGCAGCTGCTGAAAGGGCTCAGCGCTGTGACCTCAGACAAGGCTGGGCTCGAGGCTATAGGGGTTGGGTGGGGCTTCGAGACCCCGCCTATTTGGATAACACCTTGGGGCATATTTTTTACTTCAAGGGGAGGTTTTAGGAAGAATAAAGGATAGGAAAATCCCCCTCTTTCTTCCCATCCTCATTACCTGACGTGTAAACTATATAAACTCTCCCTTGCTTCCTCCCTCCCTTCATGCCTTCTTTCCTTCCCCAAATACTTGTGACCACTTATATGAAATCCCTACAACAAAATAAACAATAAAACCTCAGGGTCAGGAAAAGCACAGTTTAGGATAAATGATCTTGCAGGGAAAACAAAAAGTAGAGCAGGAGAGAAATGTGCAAGGCCCTGGGGTCCTTTTGTGGAGATAGAAATGACTGAGCTTCCCAGCAGCCAAGGGAAAAAGGGAAAGCCAGCCTCCCAGTTCTCTCTCCGCTCCGCATGAGAAGCCAGCACGTCAAGGACCATGGTTGTCTCTGCTGCTAGGGGAGAGCGTGTGGGAGCCCTGGGCCTCACCCTGAGTAGACGGGAGGGTGAGAGGCATTGCAGGGCCAGGCCGAGGGCAGCCAGTGAGGGCTGAGACTTCCCGCTGGCTGTGGGAGTCGAGCGAAGAAAGCTCCCCCCCGAGTGTGAGTCAGCAGCTGCCTGTCCCTCCTCAGCCCCTGGGACAGACCTCCCCGGGCGGGCACCTCGGAGGCCGGGCTGGGCAGAGGGCGAGTCCCTGCGTGCCCTTCCCTGTGGCCGCAGCGGGATTTTCCTACGTCCTGTTCTCTCCCGTGGTTTCCGGGGACTGGCACTTGGGAAACCTCAGGGCTTGTTTAGAGGATGCGGTGGGCCCAGGCCTGGGGGGGGACCGCCTGCCAGGGCCTCACCCCTGGAGAGGAGCAGCCCTCCAGGTCCTGCGTCTTCCGGGCGGGGGTCATCACAGGCCCCCAGGGCTGGGGGGGGGGCTTGGTGGGTGCCCCCTGGTGTTTGCGGGCACTGATGGCCGTATGGTGGTGATGGCCGTCAGTGACAGGACCAGCTCCAGGGTCGTGTGGGCACCACGATTGGCTCTGGGTTTGCCCCAGACCCCCCCTTAGTGCCTGTGAGTTCAGGGCGCTGTGGTTACTTGGCAGGACAGGCCTGGGGCCGGGCGGGGACGGGGGCTTCAGGCTCCAGCAGGCGCACTCTGGTCTCTGGGCCCACACCCCACTTGTTTGGGGAGCCCCCAAGAGAGCCAAGGCCACTCCCCAAGACAAACAGAGTGGGCCAGCCCGCACTGGGGTGGGGAGATCCCGGCTCCCGGGCTGTGGGGGGAGAGCTGAGTCAGCAGGCCTGAGGGGCGGGCGGGCAGCGGCCAAGGGGACAGACTGCGGGGCTGCAATGGACCCACATAGTTTCCCGCTTGCGTCTTCAGATTCCGCGCCTCCTCGCCGGTCGCCCTGGCCGGGCCACTCACATCTGGAGAAGCGCGAGGTGTGTGGGGAGCAGGCTGCCTAGCCAGGCCTGGCCCCCCGCCAGCGCTTCGGGGCCGCAGCCAGGACGCCGGCGGCAGGACCCCGGGGACTCTGGGGACTCGGGCTGAGGTCACTGAGCGGGGCCCCCAGGCTCAGGGCGAGACGGACAGAGCTCTGGGGAGCGGGGCGCAGAGCACCCCCGGCCCGCGGCAGTGAGTGTCAGATGCGCAGCCTCAGGCCAGCTGCTGAGCATCTCTGGCCCGTTTCCTCGCCTGTTAGGTGGGCGGGCGGTGCCGGCCGGGCGGTCCCCGTCAGCACCCAGAGTCTGGAAGCGGCTCAGCCCTTCCTATCGCATAAGTGACTGTTAGGGTTGTTCTGAGATTAAATGAGTTGGTGCTGTGAGCCTGCAGACAGGCAGGGGTGTGTGTGTTGGGGGGGCAAGGCCCCCTGTGCGGGACCTGTGTGCACACCTCTGGGCGGGGGCTCGCGGCCTACACGCCAGCCTCTCCCGGACCCTCTCCGGGCAGCCGGGGCGGGAGATCCGAGCTCACACAGACGCTCAGACTTGAGACCCCCTGAGCCTGCTGTCTTCCCTCTTCCACCTGCTGCCCCCTCGCCTGCCCCGCCCCCACGGAGTCTTCGTGCAGGACTCGAAGACCTACTCAGTACCTGGCACCTACCCTGGAGGGGCCCCCCCACACCACTGCCCGGGGCAGAGGAGGCGCCAGGGCCCCGAGGACCTGGCGTTATTAGTCTCCTGCTGGCGTCACTGGGGGGCCCTTCTTGGTGGGGCGGCTCTCACCCTCGGGGAGCCGGGTGGGGAGGTGGCAGAGGGGGGCACAGGCCACCCCAGCAGGTGCGGAAAGCCGGAGCCCACAGCAGTGAGGACGTGGACGGCCAGGTCTCGCAGGGCTGGTATCCCGGCTGGAGCTGAACAATAAATAAACAGATGAGGACGTCGTCTTCAGGCAGGGACTCGGGGAGGAGGCTGAGACTGGGGGAGTGATGGAGCGGTTGGGCAGAAGGGGCCACGTGACCTGGTGGTCCAGAGAGGCCTCCCAATTGCCCTTCAGCTGAAGAGCGGGCCCGTCCCTGCAGCGGAACGTTGTCAGCTGTAAAAAGGGATGATGCACTGGTACACACTGTGACATGGACGAACCTTGAGAGTCACAGATGAAGGGACAGGGGCGGGACATGCAAGGCCACCGAGTGTCCGGTTCCACTTATACGGACATCCACAGGAGGCGACTCCCCTGATCCAGGAATACACGAGAGTTTGTCCGGGCTGGGGTGGGACGCAGAGGGACTGCCTAATGGGTGTTTCTTTCTGGGATGATGAAAATATTCCAGCCTTAGATGGTGGTGATATTTCCACGACTCTAAATACGCTGAAAACATTGGCTTGCACGCTTTATTTTTTTAATTTTTATTTTGGCTGCACCACGAGGCATGTGCGATCCTAGTTCTCTGACCAGGGATTGAACCCTGGAAGCGCTGAGCCTAGCTGTGGAGCCGTCAGGGAAGGCCTGTGAACGGCACACTTTAAGTGGGTGAATGTTACAGAACGTGAGTCCTATCTCAGCAAAACTGCTTTTAAAACAAGACAGAGGAAAGAAACACTTGGGTCGGGGGGTGACCTTGAGCTGAGAGTGGCAGGAAGGAGCGAACTCAGCAGGTGCCAGCGCCCTGAGCTGGAGCACTTAGGGCAAGGTGGGGGGTGGGCGGGCGGGTGGGGGACGGATGTGCCCTCCGCAGGGCCCCGGGTCGGGTCAAAGACTTCAGAGTCTGAGGCTGAAGCAAGGCAGGCGCGAAGCAAGATAAAGCCACCACTGTGCTTTCTGTTTCAAAGCAATCAGGCTGCCACGAGGAAACGAGACAGTGGGGGTGGGGGGACGCCGTGTGGGCTGGAGGGGCTGGAGAGAGCGGTCAGAGATGACGGGGGGGCTGCCCCAGGGAGACAGACTGCCCCCCGGGGGACGACCTCCTGGAGGAGGGGGTCTGGGCATGGCCTCCAGGAGTGGGGGATGGGCCGGGGGTGGCCGGGGCCCTGCAGGTGGGGGACTGGGAGCTGAGTGCAAGGAGGCCGGCTGACCACCTCACGCCTGGTCCCCAGTGGGCCAGAGCAGCTTTGAGGCTAAGTAGGGCAGAATCCTCCAGGCCACCTGTCGTCCGCCTTTGTCCTGCCCGCCCAGGCTGGCCCGCAGCGAGAGGATCAGCACCGAGTGGCCAGAGACCCAGCCGGGGCCCTGCGCTTCTGAACAAAGCGGGCTTGAGGAAGCTCGAGTGGCCCCTGAAACATGACCGGGCACAAGAGACCGGCCAGTAGGGAGCTGTATTATTCATTGAGCGGAGCCCCTGGGGCATGACTGGCCTCCGGCCACCTGCACGGCCCAGGCCTGGGCGGAGCACCCTCGGGGCAGTGTCTGGCTCCGGTGAGGGTGCGGGGCCCAAGGGTGCCCGGGGCGTGGTTTCCTGGATGCAGGCTGAGCTGGGAGGAAGTGGGACGTCAGGCCCCGGTCTGTGAGGCGAGGCGGGCAGCCCGCGGCTGGTGCCCCAGGGCCGCGGACACAGGCAGGGTGCCGGGCGCAGGAAGGCCACCGCCCTGTCCCCAGGGACTGTGAGTACACCCACCGCCCGCTCCAGGGGGGCAGGGACAGGGGCTTGGGCACCCAGGGGACCCGTGGGGGCGCCGACCGCCCTGGGGCAGCGGCCGGGCGGAGGATCTCTCCGCCGCCCCCGCCCTTCCCCCGGGCTTTGGGCCGCTTCCTGGGACTGTTTTCTGCTCCTGCGTCTCAGCACCTGGGCAAGGTGGCATGGTCGGTGGCCCAGGTGTTTCCCAC